GACTGATATAGGTTATAGTAAGGATTGGGTATTGACTGATATAGGTTGTGGTAAGGATTGGGTATTGACTTGATGGACTTGAGTTAGGAATACTTGACTCGCCTGTTTTACAGATACAGAAGTACTTGACTCAGCAGAGTTGGAGCTAACAGTATGTACTGTGTACATGTGTTTCAGATGTATAGCCTCCTCACCTAGAAGTTTGTCCCAGGAACAACTCACGATGCTCACTTCAGGAATAGAGATGTTAGCCATGGCATGTACAGAAAATGGTACTTCACAGTCAAACTGTTCAGATAAACCTCACAGTCAAACTGTTCAGATAATTATACAGTAATTCAGGCTCATTTTTCAGAAAACTCAGTCACACAAAACAGAAAATTCTACAGTAATTCAGTCACATTGTATCATATAAACAGTTGTTTGAAGACAAATGCCAATGCATACTTTTTTGTGAAAGATAAAGCTACCACAAATATTCTATATTATATAGAGATACATGTATCAACAAAAGTTGTTTTATACATTGATCTTATTTTTTTTTCAGAGTCCAACCAACAGCATTTATTAGGATTAAACAATCTCTCTGAACACATTCTTCAGTTTATGGAAGTCAAGATCAAAGGTCAAGGTCGACTGATGAAATCGGCTTGTGTAACATTATTACATCGACTAACTTTGTCAGAATCAGGAAGAACAACAGTGATTCGTGTGTTCAATCTGACACGGTAAGAGACTTATCATTACCAGGGGAATACCCTACAGTATACAGATAGAACATATTCCTGGGTGCAGGCTGTTATTACCTCACCTGGCCAGAAGGACCATGTGAGCTTATGCCGTACTGCGGCGTCCGGCGTCCGGCAACATTTCCTTTTAAATGACATGTGAAGAACTGGAGGACCTAGGGTCACGATATTTGACCAGTAGGTAGATGGGATGGAGTGCTATAACTTTTTTTCATTAAAATGACCTTGACCTACTTTCAAGGTCACAGGGGTCAGTTATGTTCAAAACTTTAAACAATAATATCCTAAGAACCATTTGGACTAGAGTCATGATACTTGGGTATGTTATGTAGTCCAGCAGTGCAAATCTTTTTCCAAATTTGAAATTTCAAACAACAATATCTTTAGAACCGTTTAAGAGATGTTAAAATGTCTTGTGCCTAGTTACCAAATTTTGTCTGAAGTTACCTATATGCCAGTTTCATGTAACAAAAGAAAAAGGTGAGCATTACAGGCCCTCTGGGCCTCTTGTTTTTTGCATTTGAGCTTATAATTAGTTAATTTTACATTCCATTGCTGTACTATTGTTTACAGTTCAATTATAATCCTAATACCAGGAATGTTAATACATATCCATAGTTTCACTTTTTACAATACTGTCATCAAGAACTGTCCTCAAAACACAAGAAAGTTTAATTTAAATTAATTTTGTGTGTTAAGTCATGAATGAACTTTGTGTCAATTCTTGTGTTTTTTCTGTAGAGTAATTATGGCACTGTTTGACAATCATTATCTTTGTAGAGTAATTTGGTACTGTTTGACAATCATTATCTTTGTAGAGTAATTACGGTACTGTTTGACAGTCATTATCTTTATAGAGTAATTACGGTACTGTTTGACAATCCTTATCTTTGTAGAGTATTTACGGTACTGTTTGACAATTCTTGTCTTTGTAGAGTAATTACGGTACTGTTTCACAATCCTTATCTTTGTAGAGTAATTACGGTACTGTTTGAGCTCATTAGAACCAACATCACAATAGCCATTACAGCTGGTAGTGTCCTCAACAACCTGGCACTGGATAAAATGTGAGTATTGTATTACTCATAAAGCACTGCGTATTATAGATTATCACACTGTATTGTATAATAATGGGCAAGGAAGTTATTCCAACAGTGTAGACTATATATGAGTTTGTCAAATTTAACCAAGCGCTTATCGTTTATTCATACCTAGAGAGTAGCTGGTTTGTAGGTTGGTGATCCAGTACCTTTTCCTTGAGCGCCGTCTCGATTCATCCCAGGTTGGGCAATGATCTATGGCAACCACCTGCATGTCTTTCCAACCATGGTTAGGCATGTTAAAGTTTGCTGTTGGAATGAATTCCTTGCCCCTTACTACAAACGTAAGGATCTACAAACCTACGATTGTAAGGATAGAAACATATGGTTGTAAGGATCTACAAACCTACGATTGTAAGGATCTACAAACCTACGGTTGTAAGGATAGAAACATGGTTGTAAGGATCTACAAACCTACGATTGTAAGGATCTACAAACCTATGGTTGTAAGGATAGAAACATGGTTGTAAGGATCTACAAACCTACAGTTGTAAGGATAGAAACATATGGTTGTAAGGATCTACAAACCTACGGTTGTAAGGATAGAAACATATGGTTGTAAGGATCTACAAAC